AAATAAACCCAAAAAAAAACAATAATATAAAACCAAAAAAAAAAAATATATAAAATAAATAATAAAAGAGTTTTTTTATAAAATGGTCAAACCAAGAAATAATAGAAAAAATAAAAAAATTAATAACCAATGCGATGTTCCAATCAATTTTCCTGCAAACACTGAAACTGATGAAATGGAAATCGAATATAAAGCTGATCCAAATGAAATATTTTTACTTGTACCAAACTCAAAAATGTTGAAAGTTAACAGAGCTTTGCAAGTATCGGGTCATTACAAATTGAAGCTGGCAGCCTTAGATCTCCTTGATGACCATGTCTCAAATAAAGATTTATTATCAGATTTAAGCCACAACCAATATGCTTCAGCTATTAACTACCAATTAAATCTTGCTCTCAAGTGCCATGGTAGTGTAAAATATTTAAATAGTGTTAAGGATAAAGCCAGCTCTTTATTAACTAAAATGACTATCGAAGAATGGGGAAGTTCAGATGCTACCGCAGGAAACCGTAAATTCATCTCTGATAGCCTCAAATTAATTGTAGACCCAATTGCCTTTCCAGAAAAATACTGTTGGGAAGAAGTCAAAGATTCCATTATTATCTTGGGTAAATTCTTTCAAATCAAAAATGAATCAATTTCCGAATTTTGTTCAAATGATTTCAGAGATTTCTTTGATAAAGTATTTTTACTATTATTCAATTTCCTTGATTTTATAGTTTCAAATAAAGATAGAATAATCAAGGAATCAGTCTATTTCGATTATGTTGAAGAAACTGAAAAATGCATTTCTTTACTATTCGATTTAGTTTACACTTGTGATGATTGTCGTTTATACCATATGGTTCATATCATCGCAATTCAAGAAGATTTAGATCAACTTTCTCCATCATTCAAGAATTTTTTTTAAATCAAAGTGTAGAAGTCTCAAAGCAGAGCAACTTGCAATAGTTTTTGAAGGCTTTCATAAATCAAAAAGAGAAAATAACAAGCCTGAAATAAGCAGATCTTTATTTGTCTCATACCTATAGATGGTTAATAAAGCATCAAATGACTCAAAGCTTCGATATAGTAATGAATGGAGAAATATCGAACCATTAGCAATCCAGGTATCAGAATTAATTTCCAAAGCACCATTGCCAGCCCATAATGGCTTATATTGTAACAAAATTTAATGGTGTTTAGAAGTAGCAAGAAAAAAAGGTAATATCACAAGTCGAGTACACTTAAAAACAATTATCAAAATTTTAAAAAATAATTTAATTTTTATAATAATAAATAAATAAACAAAATTTTATTTGACTATAATAAAGAAAAATAAAATATTCATAAAAAAAAAAAAAAAAGTAATTTATTTGTATATTTTTAATGCTATTAACATAGAACTATTTTATTTATTTAATTTTTTGATGGTAGTTCTTTGTTGTTTTATTATTATATTATTTAAGACTTGCTGGTGATGTTTCTAGGTTCAATCTTAGTCTCTTATTGGATATACATTTCACTTTCGATATTATTACTTTTAATATATTTTCTACAACCGAGTGACTTATTACTTTAGTGTTTATTAAGTGATTGAAAAATTATGATTATCTTCTGTTTTTACCAATTATCGTTATCACCGTAGGGGAATAATACCTGATTTAATTGTTTTCTTATTTCATTTTCATCATAAGCTGTCTTTGGGTGTTGTTTGTGATTCTTTCAAAGTATACTACCCCAATTTTTAGTAAATATCAACACGTTATCATAGCCATTTTAAATTTTTAAAATAATTTATTTTTAAAAAATCTAATAATTTTTTTTAAAATTTTTTTCTTTTTTTAATTTTTTTTTATTTTTATTTTTTTCAATTCACAACAAACAAAAAAACACATAAATAATTTTAATAATGTAAACTATAGCACATCCAATAATAATTCAAATAATAATGCCAATGGTTCAAATAATAATAATACATTAAATAGTTCATGCAATAGTACACAGTGGTTTAAATTCAAATAGAAATAATTTAACATCATCAGCAGCATCATTAACAAACATTCCAAACTATTATAACAACTTCACCATCATCTTCATTAAAGAATAGTAATATTTCAATAGTTTTGTAGCTACATCATCAGTTAATTCGAGAACAAATAATAATTTAACATCATATGACGAGGTTGAAAAAGGATTCAGGGTCCATGAGGAAGATGAGGCAGTCGAATTAAACGAATCATTAAATGAATTTAACAATGAAAGAGGGGTTGGTGTTGGTTTTGACAATAGTGATGTTGGCGAGGCTCAAGAAGAAGATGATGACAATAACAAGAATATGGAATTTAAATTCGATTTGGATTTGACTACAATTAATGTAATGGACTATATCGATGACTTTGAAAAGAAATTATTGGAATATTCAGAAAAATAACAAGTAGTTCAAGATTTCAACAAAATAACATAGATTTAATTCAATATTCAAAACAGGTTGGAGAATCACTAGAAAAATGTGACAAAGAAATGAAAGCACTCTATCAAGATATTTTACCCGATTGTAAGTATCATATGGTTTTTTAAACATATTCTCTTGTTTTAATTATTTATATATATTAATATTTATCATTTATCTAGATGTTAATGAAAGAGAAAACTTTCATTTAATGTATAAACCAATCACAGAAAGCAAATCTTTATTGGTCGGATTTGAAACAATGTTAAATGGTTTTCAAAATGAATTAGCAGGTATTTCAAAAGAAATGCGTACACTACAAGAATTATCAATGAAATTTAAATGCACAAAAGAAAAAATGTAGTTGAAAAATTACATAAAATAATTGACGAGGTTTCAATTTCAGATGATTTAATAACGTATGTATATCGTAACACCTTTATATTTAAAGTTAAAAATATACTAATTCTTATTTGTTTATAATATATTAACACAGGGCGCAGTTAATGATCAATATTTACAATATCTATCAATCTTTAGTAAAAAATTGGATATATTCAAACACAAAAAAGCCAAGGTGTATTTGCCACAGGTGAAGTTGAGGAGGTTATATTAAAATTAAAACCTTTCGATAACAAGTAAGTAAATTAATACATTATTTTAAAACAACAACAACAGCAACAACAAACCCATATACAAATAGAAAATGGCATCGTTATGGAAATAGAAACAGAATTACTAACATAAATTAAATTAACTTTATTAATTTTCAAAAGACAGATTTACCAAATTAAAACCATTCAATACCCTTACAGGATCTGCTGTCGTCGATATCATGAATGAAAGGATTTTAATCAACTATATAAAGATTTGGCCTAATTAATCCAACCACGAACTATTGCTTCTATATTATAATCTCAAACCAATATCAATAACTATCATAAAAAGTCACAAAGTCGCAGAAACTCAAATTCTTTCAAAGTCTTTCAATCTCGAGTAAATCAGATAAAGCAAAGTTCAAATCAATTACAAGTTCATGTAAAAATTCAAAGTGTTATGGATGTATCATTCAGCTCTTATAGACGCTAGTGCACGGTTATCATGTATGAAAAAAACATTGGCAAAAAAAAGATTAAACTTAGATCCAACTAAATACTAAACACTAATGAAGATATTCAATCCTATCAACCATTTATATGAATTTCAATATATTTGCCTTGGCCCAAGCAACAGTGATAGACACAAATAGTTTAGATAAGGAAAAGGGTAAACTTCAGCTTTCGTTAATATTGCTCAAATTGTGAAACAGTCCAATGGTTTTAGCTTATCAAATATATTTAAAATATGACCCCCAAAAAATTTAGTATCTGACAGAGGTTCAAGTTTCATAAATGAAGTCGTCGTTTCAATAAACAAATTCTTTAAAGTAACTCCAACTTTCGCTTGCCATACATAAACATATGGTTTAACAGAAAAGTTTAATTCATCCTAATTCACAAGTGCCTAGATGTTATTGTAAAGAAGACAATACAAATGATCCACCACAGTTAATTGGTATTGCTTTATTCTCATATAGTACTATGCTTCATCCTTCTACTGGCATCTCTCACCATTTTTTTAACTCAGTAAATCAATAATCAGTCCTCAGTTATTAGAAGCCTTTAAGAAAGCTAATATTAAAACATTTTATAAAAATTAATAGTTAAAAATCAATATAGTGTCAAACCAAAGGCAGTTCTCATTAAGAAATAACAGTCACACCCAAACTCGACTTATTATCATATAATTAATAAAACGCCTCACATTTTTCAGGACCATCTCTGCCGGTGCTGCAGGTTGTGCTACTGTGGGTGGTGAAGGTAGCACAAGTGGTACAGGTGGCACATCAACAAGTGGATCAACTAGCATATCAACAGGTATAATAGTAGCAGGTAACTCTCCAGACTGGAAAGATTCTTCAGACTCATCAGCAGATCAGACCAAGGCAATACTCATATAAACGTAGTGCACTAAGACTACCTGAAAACAAAATTGAAATAACATTCTTTAATAAAAAGATATCTGATTCATAATCTGGAAAAAGATCAAGTATTAAAAAATTGAAATAACATTCTTTAATAGGGAAACGATCAAGTATTAAAAATAATATACATTTCATTAGAAAAGCAATTATTTAAAAAGAAGAGAACTTTTAGAACAATTAGAATTAGAAGGTCTTCAATTCGAAAATCACAGTATTAAATAAGAGATTACAACTCTTCAAGATAAATTCAGCAAACAATCTTTCAACACTGGTCATGATACTTCAGTTGGTATAGGGATCCATCAGCATTGGTTTCTTAGCAAACTGATGAATGCGAAGAGAAAACAGAACAAATAAACCCACTAAAAGCGGCAGCATCAAATTCATCAAAATCTAATGTTGGTAGTTCAAATGCAGGTGGTAATAGTTCACCAATCATCCCATTGAATACTTCATAAGAAATCAATGGTGATAGGATCAGAGAGACTGAACATGAATTTGAAAGTTATAGAATTGCAAAAGAGAGCTAGCAATGGAAAAAGATTATTAGAAACAATTAATTGTTTGTGAAAATTAGAGATTACTGACTCAAAAGGTTCATTTGGGAACAGTTAGAAATGTAAATACACAATTAAAATTTAAAATTGAAAATATCGAAGAGGAGATAAGACAAAGAATGGAAGAAAAGTTAAATATTTTAAGATAAATAAATAAATAAATAGATAAATAAATAAATAAATAAATAAATAAATAAATAAATAAATAAATAAATAAATATATAGATAAATAAATAGATAATATAGACTAATCAAGAGAAGCAATCTAAATTAGCAATTAATCATTTAAAATATCAATCACCAAATAAAAAAAATAAAATAATATAAATAATAATATAAATTAAAATTAGATATAAAATTAAATTAGATTTAAAAATAAAAGGAAAAAATAAATGGTTTGACCATCATTAATTTACCCAATTTCGATAAATATGATGATGGAATCAATTTAAAAATAAAAAGAAAATAAAATTAAATAAAATTATATTTATGTGCATTATTTTTTTTTTATTTTTTTTTTTCACAGATAAAATATAAATATATTTACTCGAATCAGTTTAAGGTAATATATTAATATAATTTATTTTTAGAGTAAATTTAACAGCATCTTCTACGACGATGACCAATATCAATATCAATATTGATAATGTTACTGTTACCACCACTGCATGGATTAAAACATGGATTGAAACCACATGAACTGCCACTTAAGCTATTACCGAACCAAACTGATTCATTATCAGAGAATGAGACACTTCCAGATGAAGTTAAATAAATATTATAAATCTAAATTTTAAAAAAATAAAATAAGGTTGAAACTAATATATCAAATGAAATTCATATAATATATATAATAATAGATTATTAAGAAAACTCACTCTTTAATAGAGAATTGTTTTTTTGTTTAATTTTATTTATTTATTTTTTTTTTTTAATTGTTTATAATTTTTTAATTTTTTAAAAAATAGTATTTTAAAAAAATTTTAGTTTTCATACCACACACATATAATTTTTCATTCATCAACTTTATTTACAATAACTCACATATAATAATAATCATTCGTTTTTTCACTTGTAAATATTTCCATTTTTTTTGTAAATAATATTTATCTTTTTTGTTTGTATAAATTTCCATTTTATTTTTTTTTTTGTTTTTTTGTAAATAATCTTTTTTTTGTACATATCTTTTTTTTTATATATCTTTTTTTTTTTATCTTATTTTTTGTATTTATCTTTTTTTTGTAAATATTTTTTTTTTTTATATATAACTTTTTTTTGTATTTATCTTTTTTTGTATATATCTTTTTTGTATTCGTTTTATTCAATTTTTTGTTATATAGTTTTATATTTTATCTTGGTATTTTATTTTATTTGTATAACAATTGTAAATAAAAATGTATGATTTTTTATTTATGTGTGTTTTTTTATTTTTTGTTGGTTTTATCATCAGTTTGGTTTTATCATTTTATATTGGTAGCTTCAAAGACACCAAAACCAATGTAAACGTCGACTGGGGGAGTCAGGTATCCCATCTCCAACTTATCCACCAAAACCAACATCAGCAACTTCAACTCAAACACATCCAACAAAAACAAAAGTTGCAACTCAAACACATCCAACAAAACCAAAAATACCAAAAATACCAACGACTAAAACAAAGAAAACAAATCCGAAAACTCCAAAAACTCCTAAAAATCCAGCAACTCCAAAACCTCCAACAACTCATAACACAACCAGAAAAACTACAACAACCACAACTACCAAAACAACCAAAACAACCCCAACAACCACAACAACCTGAAAAACTACAACAGACACAACAACTACAGCAACCACAAATTAAAAATGATCCAGCTCCACAAATTGGTATTGATCAGATAAAGCCAAAAGACATTGACTTACCTTTGGTCAATTCAAATAGATGGTTAGATCTTCAACCAACTAAGCCACCATCGGTATCATTAGAACCAAAGTTATTAAATAATGCACCTCCATCCACATCACCACAACAACCTAATAATTCATCAACACCATCCTCATCATCATCATATAGATTAGTTAATCCATTTAATGTTTTAAAATATTCTAAAAAAGTTATGGAAGAAAACCTTTATAGACCATCAGCTAGTGTAAATCATTCTAAAAAATTAGTACAAGATCAAGAAACTCAACAGTATATTAATTTATTAACTATTGGTTTTAAAAAATTATTTGAAAGTGATATTGACTCAAAGGCTATCAATGGACAAAATAATAATAGTAATAATAATTGCAATAATTTAAATGTAAATAATGTAAATATAAATAATAAAAATAGTATTGAAGAAACACCAACAAACCAAAAAGACGGGGCTTGTATTAGTGATTTTTCAAATGAAGATTTTAATCAAGCAACCAATATTGAAATCAAAATTGATTCAGACTTAGATCTAGAAGAACAGATTATAAATCAATTCCATCATCTACAAGTTCCACACCAACCAGTATCCACTTCTGAAAGTTCATCAGCAACTGTAACAACAACAACAGATTCATTAAAAATAACAACTATAACCTCACCAGCAGTAACTACAAATAAATCATCTACAGCATCATTAACATCTTCTTTATCAGATAATTGGCAGTTTACAATATTCTCACCAAAGGTTTTTAAAGAAATAAGAAAATATTATAATGTTGACAAAGATTTCCTTAGAACCAAATCAATAGGCAGCCCAGAGATATCTGATATTGTAAAATTTTTAGAGGTTCAAACTGTGGGTAGAAGTGGTAGTTTTTTCTATAAATCAGAGGACAGTAAATACTTTATAAAAACAATTCCATCAAGCGAGTATAACACATTCACTAAATTATTTCCATCATATTATCAACACATTAAAAAGTATCCAAATTCTTTGCTTCCAAGATTCATGGGAGTATATCGTTTAAAGGGTAAATTAAAATTAAGTGGTGCTTCCTATTATAGTAGTGCCCATAGAGATATCATATTCGTTGTAATGGCCAATCTTTTCTATTCTGAACAAAAGTTGGAAATTAAAGAAAAATATGATTTAAAAGGTTCAACAATAGGTAGATATGTTGATGTTAATCAATTTCAGCAACAATTAGCCAAGGAACAGCAACAGCATCTAAACGGTACAGATAGTTTGAATACAAGTATTAGTAGTAATAGTAGTTGCTATAATAGCAGTCAAATAAATGGTGTAGATAATAGTAATAATATTCAAACTCAGGATTTAACATTCAAAGATTTAAATTTAAAAAGAAAGATTCATTTGGGTAAATTAAAAAAAGTATTTATACAACAGTTATCAATCGACTCTGAATGGATGTGCAGCCATGGTATATGTGATTATAGTTTATTGGTTGGTTTACATTTAAGTGACAAGAAATCAATTCAAACTCTTAAAGAATCTCAAGGTCCAAAGTCACTTGAGAAAAAGGATATATCCTATTTCAAAAAGGATTTTAATGGTATTGTTGAAAGTACTCATACCCCTCCACAACCACCACCATTATCAACTTCAAATATAATTTATGAATCGAATACAGAAGAAAGTGATGGAGGTATAGTTTATTATTTAGGTTTAATTGATATTTTAACAACTTATAATTTAAAAAAGCGTGGTGAAAATGCTTTAAAAGGAATGTTATTTGATAGAGTAAGTTTAATATTAAATTTAATTTTTTTTTTTTAATAAGGTGTCTCAATACTAATATCATCTTTTTTTTTTCTTTGTTAGGCTCAAATATCAGCAATTAACCCAAAAGATTACCAAAGTAGATTTATAAAATATATTGAATCAATAGTTGAATAATATAATAGTATTTTTTGTTCCGTATATATAAAAAAATAAAAATAAAAATAAAGATAAAGATAAAATAAAAATAATTAATAGAATGAAATAGTAACATATATATTTTTTTTTATTTTATTATTTTTCAATTGTGGTGGAATAATATCATTGTGTACTGTGGTTGTTGCATTTGCATATTTTGTTGCATATTAGTTTAATTTAAAAAAATAAATAAAAAAATTATTTATTTAAAATTATAGTTTATTTCTTTTTCAATACGTTCTTTATCTATTCTTTCTGTAACTGAATGACATATTACTATTTTTTTTAATTAAAATTTGATTGTTTATAATTATAGTGATATGTTGTAGTAAAAGTTTTATTATTAATGATCGGTGTAAATATGACGAGAAAATAAACAGAGAAAGAAAAAGAAAGAATAGATAAAGAGCCGAAATAAATTTTTACCCTAAAACAATTAAATGTCCAAAGGATTGGCTATATGATAGCGGATCGAAAAATCAGGGCATATTTGATTACTAAACTATATACATCCTTTCTTCCATATAAAACTGATTGAGAGTTTATTGAATGGTATACCTGCAGAATATGTACTGATTGCTCTAAATAGTTTTTCTATATCTTTAATATTTGAATACTCGAGACATTTCTTTATAACTTCATAGGTAATCTTTGGGTGGTCAGCTCTGTTTGAATGAAACTTATCTAATGTCTCTTGAATATTACCGATATTTAATGTTTTTAAATGTAGTAGTATATAATGGTGGCGATTTAAATTCCTCTTAAATTAAATTTTTCTTTATTTAAATTTCTATATGATGATGGTGGAAGTGTTATATTACTATTATTAATTAAAAAGCCATTACTGTTTTTATTGTTGCAACCACTACTACTGCTACTCCCATTGCTATCATTACTATTACAACTGCTTATACTACTACAACTTGCGCTTCGGGCCAAACTGGTACTGTTATTATTTAGATTGATATATTCACTAATACTACTATTTAAATTATAGTTACTATTACTATTTTTTAAACTGAATGTTGTAGGTTCTGGTGCTGCTGTTGTTGTATTATTGTTACTATAACTATTTTTTAAACGGAATGCTAATGCTACTGTTGTTGTATAATTATTATTATTACTATTGTTTAAACTGAATGATGATGATGATGATGAAGCTGATGTTGTGTTATTATTGTTATTGATATTATTGATATTGATATTATATGGTTCTATGATATTTACTCGATATTTTAATTGTAATTATAATGATTTAATTGATATTGAAAAACTTTTTTTATTAATTGTGTAGTTTGGTAAAAATGTTTGTACATTCATTGATAGGAAATACTCCAATGCTTCTGTATTATCTAAATAGTGTGCACATTCTACTAAATCAAACATGTGTAGCTGTTCTTTTTTCTTTTCGTATAGTAAAATAATTAAACTTGCATCTCTAAAAAAAGCTTTTTTCAATATATTCATCTGCCTGTATTATAATTAATATTTTAAAGTGTTATTACATATATTTACTCTATAACAATAATCAATTAGTCTAAATGTTATTACCACTTACTTTTAATTTAATTTCTAATAAATTCCATAATTTTCTTTTTACCATAAAGCCCAATGATCTTATGTTTAAATTATATTAAAGTAGAATTGGTTTATTGTGGTTGCAGCTGCGGTTGGGAATGTTGGATGTATCTATTGTAATATTTCTTTCGGTAGTATCAATTGTACAACTAACTAAAAAATATCATTGTCTAAAACTATTTGAACTATCTGTAATTTCTAATGCATTCAATATTTTATTTTCATTTTATAATTTTAATATCTTTAAATCTGAAACTAATGATCCAATAAAATGAAAAATTAATTAATATATTTATTTTATTTGTAAATAGGTATGGTATGATATAAATATATGTTTAAAAATAAATTATTTAAACTTACTTTTTGATTAAGCAACTCTTAACTGATATGCAGAAGGTAATGCAAAACTTTTGTATAACTATTACTTCCCAAAGAATCAAATGAAATTGTGCTAACATTACCAGTTTTAATGTTCTTTGGAACAATAAATTTAAATTTAAACTGTTTTGAAGTTGCATTACAATGCATGGAAAATTCTCTAGAATAATAATCATTTTATTTGATTCTCTATTATTTGATACTCTTAAATCATTTCTATAAACCTGTTAACTTTAAATTAATAATCGAATCGAATCACTTTATATTTGTATTTATATATAATAGCAGAACATACTTTATGATTGAATAGAATCCAATTTTTCCACAGTATCGAACATGATTTAATTTTACATCCAACTTTATATTGATTATTATTATAGTTTGATTATAGAATATAAAACGAATGACAGTACCATGTTACCATTTGGTATAGATTCCATTGAATAATCACTTATTTTATTTGTAACTATATTGGTGATACGTCTACGTGAGTAATTTAGTAATTGTATATCATTTTTAATTAGTATAACA